TCTCACATCTGCGTTGATACAGTGTGTGTTTCTGTGGGACTTTATAATTGAGCACATGGATGCCAGTCAAACCTAAAAATATTCTGGATACATGTGATGTTTTTTACATTTCACCTAGGAGTAAAATCATTCAAATGCGCGTGCATGTGTGTTCTCCAGCTCACCTCACTTTTATGTCTTCTCAGCAGTTTGACATAGAGATAACCAAACCTCTTGGACAATATCAGTGTCCCCCCACTTAAGGTTGTCAGCAGCAAACTTGCAACACTGAAACCTCTTTACACAAACGTTAACGCACGCACGCACGCACGCACGCACGCACGCACACACACACACACACACACACACACACTCCTTTTTTCAGTCAAAAGGGCCAGTCTCTGTTTGATCCCCTGTGAGGTTTATCTCCTAAGCCCAAATGTCAACACTTGAAGTTGACAGACTCAGTTTCCTCCAAATGATCCAGTGACTGTCCACAACTAAAGACCAGGAGACCAGCAGGTAACAGCAGTTGACCTGGGTCACAACAGAAAGTCAATGGGATATGAGTTACACTGAGGGATTAGGGAGTGACTAACAGAAAAGAGTGTCATGTAGGAATCAAAAAACAATTTGCACTATTATCTAAATTTGAAAATCTATCGCATCCCCTGCATTTTGACCATCTGTCCTCACAAACAACCAGTGTATCAGCTGTGTATCAGCAATGTTAACAAGACTGTCTCCTCTAATTGACCACTCACTTTTAGTGTCACGTTAGCCAATCACACAACACAGGTATGGTCATACAGCTTTTTTTTTGCTTTTCAGCTGTCATCAAGTGCATGTCCAGTTTTCAACAGAAAAGCTCTGTTAAACCCACAGTATGAACCTGCCCAGCACCAAACAGCAGACAAAGCTGATTATAGAGGCACTTCCCTCGGGAATAGTGGAGTGGAGGAGAAACGAAGCTAACAGGACAGTGAATATTGGACAGACACGTGACTCCAATTAAGTGATTATGTTGCGCAAAGTCTTCTGGATTTGTAAATAGGGAATTGTATGTCAACATGTTCGCCATAACAACTTCATGGGGGGACAATATGTCAGCCTTGTGTTTACAGCTTGTTGCACAGCCCCCAGTGGCCGAAAAATCATTTCCCGTGATGCAGCTTTTGGTTTTCCATGTTAACTTATTTGTTTCTGCACTTCACTGTATTGATAGTAAGTATTATGGAGGATGTCTGCTGCTTTCTTTCATATTTTTTTTGTGTTTTTCTTACATCAGGGATGCTGTGTTTGTGTCACACTGTCACCTTCTTTGTTTAGTTTTATGAGTTGCTGCTCTGCACGCAGGGTCCTACAGTATTCTTAGAGCAACTGACTGTGTACATTATATCTTCAATACAGAAAACAGAGGTAAGTAGGAGGGAGAAGTGTGTGTGTTTGTGTGTGTGTTGCGGGGGTGGTGGTGGAGGAGTGATTTCCTGGTTATGAATAGGCAGTGTGTTGATTATCATTTAATGATGTTAGTGTGCGTATAACAATTCCAAGACTATTGTTATTTGATCAGAACAAAAGTCATACATGCAGACATACACTCATTCATAAACACAAATGTGCACACGCACACACACAAACAAACACACACACACACACACACACACACACACACACACACACACACACACACAGACTCAGACTTGCATGCAAACAGACCAGCATGGAAATGCTGCAGATGTCGCCAAGTATCCACATGACAATACACACACACACACACACACACACACACACACACACACACACACACAATAATGCACAGAAGTTCCTCATTGAAAATGAGAGTCAATGATTCTTGTGCTTTAATTGCTCAATTATTGTGACCTTATTATTTTTTTACAGCCAGCAGAGTTGTTGCTGGAAGTGTAGTTGTGTGTGTGTGTGTGTGTGTGTGTGTGTGTGTGTGTGTGTGTGTGTGTTTGTGTGTGTGTGTGAGCGTATGTGTGTGTGCCAATCAGATAAATCTAGAATTAGAAGTGTCTGAGGCTAAGGATTAGTCCAAAGTTTGAGTTGTGGTGTCGGCTTGACTTCAGTTTTAAAGTGACTTTTACCACCTCAAACTGTAAAGACCCAGTGTCAGTAAAGTACACTTACCTCTCTCTCGCTCTCTCTCTCTCTCTCTGTCTGTTTTTGTGTTTCAGTTCATTTTCATTTTTCAGTTCCTGTAACTTTATTTTAGTTGTGAATAATAAACAAACCGTGTGATGTTTGTCTTTTTGTGTCTTTTATTCTCTCCTTCTTCCTATGTGTCCCATACCTTCCCCCACAGCACCACACTATGTCTCTCTCTTTCTGTGTGTGTGTGTGTGTGTCTCCATACAGGTTAATCATTCCACCAGTGCTATATTGCCAGAGAAGCTCTTATCAGTGTCTGTGTCATTTTATAACCTGACCACCTCTCCCACCCCCCACCCCCTTGTCCTCTCTCGTCATTCTCTTACTCCACCCCCACCAAAGCCTGAAAGTAACCTGCTTAAACCAATCACAGGCCAGCATTAATAGTATAATGCTGGTTAGTGGAGCCTCCTGCACTCTGTCAACATTGTGGTTGATGTGCTGGTCACCAGATGATGATAAAAAAGAATCTGTATACATGGGTATGAAGGGAGGCCAGGTGATTACAGATAAACAGGAGAAGAACTCAATTATTTTCTAAATCAAAGTTCAAAGCAAGTTTAGTTTGTTTCATATAATTCTATGTTATTTTGTTTCTATAATATATTGCCATTATTGTAAATAAATGGCCTTTTTGTTCCAAGAGACATGAATGAAATTAGTCAACAGGGGTGAAATGTGACATTTTCAGAGAGATGCCAAAGAAACAGTGGTGGGAACTTACTGTGTGTGTGTGTGTGTGTGTGTGTGTGTTGGCAGTGAGAGTGGGGAGGAGTGTATTTAAAAAAAAAAAAAAGGGAGAAAGACGGTGACAACAAGATCAGGTCAGCTCTACAGAGGACCTGTTTGTGTGCACACTGACTGTGTATTGACTCGTATGGAAACCTGACGTAAACCAGCTGCAGGTGATGATGCTGTATTTGTAGCACAAAGCACATGTTAACATTAATTTCTGGTGGATTCAAGTAATAGCCATGTGTTGTCTTAATCAAACTTTTAGAAAAACACGTTTTATTGAAATGACTGAAATCCATATGAGGATATTTGAAAAGAGACATTTCAAAAACATGTAACTTAGCCTATAAAATACTCCCAATCTCCCAATGATAATATCATATAACTTTACTGGATTACCAAAGCTCCACATTGTGTTAGGGGTCACATATCTGTAATGAACTGCATTTTGGCTGACACTGTAGAAATGAAAGGATGAACACGACAGGTTTAGACAAAGCATTTGCTTTTACACTTTTATTGTACTTGGTTTTGAATAATCAGATTTCAGTCTTCCTGCTTTTCAACAAAGGTTTAGAGGGTAATGCTGGGAATTTATTACAAAATGAAGAGGAAAACTCATTTTATGATGAGTACATTTTACATGCTTGGTGTTCTATTTTACTTCCTATAGTGCCACACTAATACCATTGTCTCACAGATGATATTAAATTCTTGATTCTCTAAATATGTTATTTTATGTGATCGTAGTGTTTTTCTGTATGCTCGTGTGTGTGTGTGTGTGTGTTGGCAGTGAGAGTGGGGAGGCGTGTGTTTGTGTATGTGTGTGTGTGTGTGTGTGTGTGTGTGTGTNTGTGTGTGTGTGTGTGTGTGTGTGTGTGTGTGTGTGTGTGTGTGTGTGTGTGTGTGTGTGTGTGTGTGTGTGTGTGTGTGCGTGTGTGTAGCGCGCCCTCTGCGACCCCTCAGGTGTGTCTGGCGGTCTGCCCCGTGTCTTTTCCGTGTCTCCCCCCTGCTCGTCCTCAGTGACTCAGACCGATGATAAGAACACACTGTGTTTAAAACATCTGCCTATCTGTGCCTGTGTATGTTGGAGCGGGTGGAGGGAGGGAAGGGGGGTGGGGGTGGGGGGTGGGGGGCATTACAGGGACGTAGCCGCATAATTATTTTTTGTCTTTGTGTATGTAATTTGGAATTGGCTAAATAGCCCGAGTCTGACGTCAGATCACTAATTGATCCCTGCTCAGCCAATTACTGATAATAATTCAGAAGCAAAGGTATAATTTATTGCGTGAGGGGGGTGATTTAATCCGCAAATAAAGGCCATTTTAAGCCCGAGGCCGGCGCTTCTCACATTTTCCACAAAATTGAACAATCAACCCCAAAAAACTGGCCTACTAATGCTACACAGATTATTATACGTTTTTCAAATATATATGGATGCAATGCAGAATTTATTATGTCCTTCACCTACATTAGAAAGAAAGAAAGAAAGAAAGAAGGAAAGAAAGAAAGAAAGAAAGAAAGAGAAAGAAAGAAAGAAAGAAAGAAATGCTGTTAAGTTTTATTTGATTATATTTTATGACATTTTATATATCAGGAGATCATTGAAGTCTAATTGAGTTGTGTTATGACCACAGGGGAACATAACATGATGCTAAAATTGATTAAAGGGGTTAATAAATTAACACAATAAAATATATGCAACAGATATATAAAGATGAATAGTTTTATCAAAAAACTTTTACATTGTAAAAGCGTGCGTACCGGCGCGCAAGTGTGCGAGTGTGATCGTGGGGAGTCTGCTCTCACGCACAATTGCATCACCTCGCTTGATTTCCTTGTTCTCCCTCCGCTTTTAAAGTCCATCATTAACGGGGATTAAACAGCTGAGATTTTGGAGATATGGAACTGGAGGGTTTGAGGCGATGTTTCCCGGTCTCCTCGCCTGATTGGGTCGGTGAAAGATGATGTCAGACGACCGCATGCGCCCCGGATTGGAGAAAGCGGAGTAAACAAAGCCGCGAGGAGGAGGAGGAGAGGTCTCCACATCTCCAGACAGTCCGACCGACACACCGAATCCGACTTTACGCACAGGAGAGGGCGGCCCCGGCGGCGCGTACTCGACTGCTAAAGGCTGAAAGTTACACTGACAGTCCCGCTTTAATGGGTGACGCGCTAAAAAGACTTTTGGAAAAGCCAAAGGGAAACTTACCATCGTCTTTTACTCCGGACGCTGTGCAGTTTTGTCGTTTGAGTAAGAGACTGATTCCCTAACTCTGCGCGCAACTGCTCCTTAACAAGTAACGAAGGAATCCCTCGCCTGTGCTCTGCTTATTATTACGGCTTTTTCTTGCGCAAATGCAATTTTGAGAAATTAAATTAGTGAAGTTGAATCAGAGCAGACACACACGCCGAGCGGCAATGCAGCCCGGCCGGTTGGAGACAGTCTGACTCGTAGGAATCAGGCTTCGTATTCAGAGCATGGTCCGATAATTGGAAGACAGACAGACAGACAGACACAGAAAGTAGAAAATAGACAGCTGAAAAGACATTTGGCTCACGCTGAGGTGTGTTTGGGAGCGTGTGCCTCTCACGTCCAGGTGTCCCGCCGAGCGGTGCGGAGTCTCCAGCTCAGGCCGGCAGCGCTGACATGCTGCCCAAAGTCGAGACTGAATCCCTGGGACTCTCTCGATCGTATGGAGAACAGGGGCACATGCCAAGGAACATGCAAGGTAAGACCTGTCATTCCTCTGAATCTCTTCACACCACAAGATCCGTAAGCTTTCGCTACAGTGTCTTTACAGAGCGTTATCAGACTGGAAGCCCTCGGCGCGTTCCTCAATGTCACTAAAACTTCTAAACACGCTCATAACCAGCTAGATCTTTGCAGAAAATGCAGCTCAATTACTGACGACTGTCAACACAGGCTATTGTTGTAAGATGAACGTGTTAAATTACATTATTAGACGTGTATCACGTGGGTCATTATTTTACAGAGATCGCTATTTTATGAAATGTGTTTAGTGTGGTTTCAAAAAAGGTTTTTGTTATTTTTTTTTCCTAGTCTTTACTCTGCTATGTAAATGTTAATGTTTGGCCCATGATCAAACGATGGTTATACTCAGCTGTCACTCATACTGGAAGTGTGCGGGCGCCTGGTGCAAGTGAGGCAGAGCAGAGGAGAGTAGGTTATTTAACTTTGTCACTTGTATGGTTTTATGACGAACCACTTGACTTCGTCTCAGCAGTGCCACTAATACGCAGAAACAGGTCGGGATTTTGTCTTTATATAAAGAGCATTTAAGACAACGTGTTGCCTATTTATCAAAAGGTCCGCAGAGCAGAAATGTGGAGGTTTGATTTAGTGATTTGCCCCCTACAAAAATATTTGACCTCGCGCCAGCTAACTTTAGTCTAATAAGCCTAAAAAATCACTTTATTGACACTGTAAAATTATAGCAATTGTATGACAAATAAATCCAAACTAATATTTTTTTGTTACGTTCTTAAGAAATTTCTGTGTTGCAGTTTGTCAGTTTTTGGCCTAAAAATTGAAGTAAATTACAAAAATCAGGTTGAACTAAATTTAAAAGGGGCAACAAATATTTATTTGACGATGCTGTGCTCGTGGATGTTTTTTTTTATTTCAGTATCTTTGTTGACTTTTTTAATTTTTTTAATTTCTTTTTTTAACATTTCATTAATAATGTCAAGCACCGGGGCAGAATTTGCTTTAGATCTTTAAATGTGCGAAATGAGGTTTAAGAATTCAAAAACGTGCAGCTTTGATTGAGGAGAGATTGCTCGGGCCAGTTTTAGGTTTACAGATTGGTTCACATTTATTATAATTCCCTCTGGTATAAATTAATTTTTTTCTTGATCTGTTTCTACAAAGACCATGAAGCAGATAAAAAAAAAAATTAAAGAGGGAATGAGTCCTCTATCGAGATAAACTCACGTTCCCCCAGCTAACTCCTCTCAGGTCAATCCATAGCCATATAAACGGACAATCAATTAGCCCGGTCTCGGTTTATGAGACGCTGATAACACACACTCACAAGACGAGGAGTGGCTGTTTGAGAGCCCGTTATCTGCTTGTACACGGGTTAAAAACAAGGTAGCTCGGAATGAAAGGGGGGGGGGGACTTCTCTTTGGAGTCTTTTTTTTGACACATGCTGTAGCTGTGTGGAAACTGCATGAGCAAGTGGCAGCAGGTGAGAGACCGAGTGCTGCCCGGTGTGTTTCTGCATCTTCTTAAAGCCATGACATCTGCGCACACCTCTTGACTGTCTGTGGAGGCATGGATGCTGGATTAACCACATCTTTACATTAAAAAAAATTATGTGTATCTTTTGGAGTAGCCTATAGACATAAACCAGCTTCTTATGCTGTTATAATTCCTTAAACTGTGAACCCACAGTCATAACTATAGCAGCATAAAGATTGTGAAATTTAAAGGGAAAAATATATAGGGCTAAAACGTTTTTCTGGAAATGTTCTTTAGTTGCGGCGTTAGGAAAATTTCCAACTGGAGGTACTAATTTATTTTCTATTTACCACGGCCTCACCCACTGCATAACTGCAGCCACTGTCCCGATAACGTTTATTTTCTCCTTTAAAATGTGTCCAAATCTGCAGCTGCCGCGCGTCATGAGAAAAGGCCCTGTACAAATCCTCTCATTTTTTTGCACTTTAGAGCAGGAGAAAGTTGGGCAATGGAGTTTGCTTTGTTGCTTCTGCATGTGGGAAAGAAAACGGCAGCTCGGTGGAACTTGTTGCTTCAGCTGGAAATATGCAGCGCGGATCCCAGCAGGGCAACGCGTTAACAAACCAGAAATCATGTCTAATTAAAAGGTCTGAGTGCGCAGATGAGTGGGTTTTTGAAGCAGAGCAGTAATATGTGTGAAGGCCTTGGAAGGCGTCTCGTTGACAAAATATTTCCACTTTTACAGCCACATCCACTGAGGCTTTCCTGTTTGATCCTGGCTGCTTTTTATGATTAGAACCATAAATGCTTTTGTAACTGCTGTAAATGTCAGTGTGGCTGTTTGCTTAGCGCTGTCACACACAGTCTTATCAATGCAACTATTTCTAATACACAAAGCAAAGGGGGGTGGGGGTGGGGGGGTACAACAAATACACCGCAATAATATTCCTATCTTGTACTATGCTCTGTGTTAAATCTTAATAAGAGAATAATGTGGAAAAATGTTCAGATATGATGGACTTTCTGCGTCGATTTTAAATTGCAATAATGATTTTTTTTTTTTTTAATCTACCTATTCTGTGTTTACTCTTCATTTTGAATAAGAAATTATCATGTCACATTAAACTGACGACGTGTAAAATGGACCTATTTTTTCCCGGCGCACGCAGAACGTCACGTTAAATGTTTCGCACCACTATATAAAGCATGAAATAAACCAAAGCTGTCGCCCCACACAGCATTGCGGGTGATTCTTCGAGGGGCAAAAATGATGTTGGTTCAAGTTGGTTTTGGATGTTTTTCTCCTCGCCTGCAGAGATAAGGGCTTTTCTGTGTGTCTTCATTTGTCTGTGGGCGGTAACATTTTCTCCTCCAATCCTTAACTCTAATATCTCTCCATTTCCCCCAGCGATTTCACGACTTAGATGCATGCATATTTATGAGGCTCGCTTTCATGAGCTTTTTTTTATTATTTATTTTTTTGGCTCCTGTCTGCAACGAATGTAGAAGAAGAGAAGGAGGTAACAAGGAGAAAGAAATAGTTGCGTCCTCTCAAGTCATTTCAAAATCGATTATTCGTCATCTTCCCCTCCTCATATCAAACATCTAAAAGTCCAACAGAACTACAAGAAAAAAAGAAAAAAAAAAGACTCTAATTCAGTTGCGTCGCGTGGTTCCCCGTGGTTCACCTTGATGGATGAAAGTGGGCTTTTGGAAAAGAGATTGCTCAGCACAGCAACAGACTTCTCTCTGTGTGTGTCCGTGTCTCCTCCGCAGCCCCCCAGTTAAAAATGATGGACTACTCTTATGACGAAGACCTGGACGAGATGTGCCCCGTGTGCGGAGACAAAGTTTCTGGGTATCACTACGGACTCCTGACCTGCGAGAGCTGCAAGGTTAGTGCCCTCTTTCCCCCAAAAAGGAAAAAGCACCGCACTCTTGCTACAACAATATTTCCGTAGTGACAGAAAGTGTGTCTGTGGCGCTGTGTGGGTATGGTGACCTTATCTTATCTGCTTTGATACATAAAATATTCCCAATGTCTAAAATTGTCTTTAGCAGCGAGGTCACAGTCAGAGTTGCCTAATTATTAATGGTATTATTATTATAGAGTTCCTGCAGTCAGTATTAGGTTGTGTGGCTTGACAGTGGGTTGACTGCATTATAATCACCTGCAGGTGTGTTTGCAGTGAAGCTGGATTGTTATATACTTAAGTGTAATTATTTTCCTTGAATATTGTATGTGCAGCCCTATTTGCATTGTACAAATTAAAATACACTCCATACATGGTAACACTTTATATTTATATGGCCGCATTATCTCAGTATAACCTCTCTGTTCATCCGTGGGGATGCTTCTTTCTTTTTTTTTTAGCAGTTACAGTTTTGCATGAAGATCATTTAGACAAAACTTTTTCTGTGAGTATCAGAGGATTTTGTAAAGCGGTGAAAGGCTTGGAAATGAAACAGGGGTTCGATGGGGGTTGTGTGATTTTTGCAACCACCAAACACAGGAGGTGGAGGTGGAGGACTTAACCCAGGAAGCAAAGTACACAGTCATAATGAACCTGTTTGTACAAGGCTATGTCCTACTGTCTAAAACTCTCATCACAAGTTCATTAAGAGCACGGCAACACTGTCTGGTTGCAAAATGTTTCCATACGCAGGTTAATAATGAGGCTACTGTTAAGCAAACTGTTGCTGCTCTTAATTTGAGCTCTATCAACAACCTATTTGTTCCTTTCTGCCCATTTCCACTGTTCTCCTCAACACCAAGCTAATAGGCATTGCCCAAGTTTTTTCTTAGTCCAGTAAAGCTGTCAGCACAAAATTAAGCTAAGACAAATGTCTCTGTGTTAACACTATTCAGTGTAAAATTGCAGCTCACAGTATTGATGCGGCGGCGCACATTTCTTGCCTATGTGGTCATTATTCAAAGCAGATGTTATAGATTTTATCCCATATTATGACCTTGAGATGCTCAGCACTTGCTTGAAGGGAGTCGTCAGTGGCATCTCTGCTGCAGAAACAATCCACAAACACATTTCCCAGTTAAGCTGAAACACTTGCAGGATGTAGATGAAGAGGTCTGTTACACTGCGCTGTACGTCGGTGTTGAAACATTAATAATGCTGATAATTACCTGAAGCTTGTCATTGATTATCTCTAAGATGCAGGCAGTCCGTTCAGTAAACGTATGATCATCAGGGCTGAAGTGATATATCAGTTCGTTGACATGTTACAGGCTCATATTGGCATTAAATATCCGCTATCAGACAGGCAGTGCAATCCATCTCCACTGTAGTGAAGGTTCCTCCCTGGACACAGCTGCACAAAACTGGAAAAAGCAGCAATTACATTTTATTCTTAGTTTTCTATTAAAATGAAAATAAGTCTAGTTTCAGATTTTGTTATGCGCTACCAGCGTAAGCTTCACATCTTCTGACTTTGTGGAATGTCATTAGTCACAATTTCATTGTGAGCTTTTAGATGGAATCATCCTTTATTTGCAACTACCTTCGACCTCTGCCCTTCCACCCCAAAAATGCAGTTTTGAATAGGACACATTTGTCATCAGGATGAGACTTTTTTAAGCTTTGGTTGCCAGCTTTTGTGCCGAGACACTCACACACACACACACACACACACACATGAGAGAAAGAGTGAATCACACAAGTAAATATTCTTTTCTTTAACCCCCTCATAATCCTGCCACCTCCGCGAACACATACAGAGACACACAAACACACACACACACACACACACACACACACACACACACACACACACACACACACACACACACATCCCCTTTATTCATACAGACTGGGAGACTTGAATCCTAAAATACTGATATTACAAGCAACTAGTAGGAAGGTTAAGTGTCAGAGCTGCAGTGCACATATCAAAAGATATATTTATGATCTGCAGAAGTAAAAGGAAAATAAATATGAGCAAAGCCAGTTGAGGTCAAAAGAATATATATATATATATATATATATATATTTAATTTTTTAAATTTTATTTCAAAGTTGGCGCATATATTTGAGCAAATAAAGCACGTACAGGAGACAGGGATCAGAGGAGATAAAGTGATTATGTGAATTATATTTTTCCTGCTTCTTTGTTGGACTTGCAGGTCAGGTTTTTGACATGTTGTAAAATCTGTTTCCTGGTGGCTGGTTTTGGGCAGACTGCAGTCTTTTAGGATGGAATTCCAAGGTCAGGAATACCCTGCTACGTGATAAATTAAGACATTATTTGTATGAATGTCTTATAGCTACCTCACAGCATGATTTCAGATTTTATGTTAATTAGTAGATCTTTTTTGGGGGGGCTAATGATCTGTGTTATTTGTAATGGCAACAGAAACAGGAAGAAGTTGCTTGCAGCCATCCCTTTACACATGAAAATGAGCCTTGATGAGTGCCCTTCTCTTGGTTTGAACTGCAGGTCAGATGAGAGCATTTCAGTGAGATCCGCTTAATCTCCAGAAGTGATATTGTGTAGTTTTTAAAGCATGGTTGAATCCTGTTTGGTTCAGATATTTATAGCACACGCTGTGTGCTAAGTGGAAAATTGGAAAGAAAGTTCTCTCTGAAGCATGGATTTTTTTTTTAGCACTGAGAGGTCAATAATCCAAAACCGAGAGCATTTTTTTTTTTGGGACGAATCAGGCAATGCAGATTGTCAATTAAATTTGTGTTTGGTGAGATATTGACAGCAGCACGTTCTTTTTTTATTTTTTTTATTTTTTTTAAAGACCAGGTTTAAGGATTCTCCTCCTAGGTTATGGATCTAGAATATGTTAATACAATCTTCCCTACGTTTGATTTCCACTGCTGCTGCCAATAATTAATTCCACATTGCAGGTATGAATATCTGTAATCCCGGAACTGTGAATTATGGATATAATTTATTGGATTTTTTGGACTCCTGTGCTCATATTTTTCAATAATTTAGTAGAGAGTTGAAAAGATGCTTTCCCCATAAATTTTAGCCTTTACGTGAATAGAGAATATTGAGAATAGTAAAGTAATTTTGACAGGACCCAAATTAGATTTTATTCCCTTTATAAACTGGTTTATAATGCAGTGTGAGTAAATTAGGTATGTAGAGAATATATGTTTAAAGCTGAATGAATTAAGGTATGATATAAATAATTTCCTTATATGACTTCAGTCAAAAAGTATTACAAATACAAAGCTTGTTTCATTTGTAAAAAGTGTGTATTCTCTGATTTATATGCGTGTGTCTGTAGAGCATCACAACATCAATTGGAGTATAGCTTTCAAAACTTCACTGTGTGTGTGTGTGTGTGTGTGTGTGTGTGTGTGTGCGTGCGTGTGTGTGTGCATTAAGTCTGTCCCTTTCCATCTGTCTGAGAGTGTGAATGGGCCAATTACCGTCGCATTGCAGGGGTCAAGCAGGTTGACGTCTTAATTGGTTCTCTCCGCAGGGCTTCTTCAAGCGCACCGTCCAGAACAACAAGCGCTACACATGTATAGAGAACCAGAGCTGCCAGATTGACAAGACCCAGAGGAAGCGCTGCCCGTACTGCCGCTTCCAAAAGTGCCTCACCGTCGGCATGAAGCTAGAAGGTACAGCAACATGTTTCCATTTTTACTGCTCAGGTGTTTGGCTTGTGGCAGGGGATCACAAGTTTTGTTGGTGTTGTGCTTCTGTGATTCAGTGTGTTTCCATCTGAAACATAAGATGGGATATAACCCAGGTAGAGATGTTCAAAAGTGCAACAGTGACTGGGAGATAATGTGTAGTTGTCACAAGTTTGGGATTCATAAAAAAAAAAAAAAGATAAATAAGATGCAGTTGTCCATGTCCAAACAACTAGCAGCTGTAACAGACTGGCCACTGGGATTTCAGCATCTTGCTCAAGGGCTCTAACAGAACAGATGACTGTTACTGAACATGTGACTGTCCAGTTATAGATCCTTATAGAGCCTTTGCTTGAGTAAAAGTAGCAGTTCTACAGTGCAAACGTACATGTACTATCAAAAGTAGAAGTACTCATAATGCAGAAAAGTGTCCCATGTGAGTGATATACTATTACATATTATATTATTGCAATATTATTCTGATTTACACTAATACTGATGCATTAATGTGCATGTACTATTTTACTGCTGTAGGTAGTACAGTAGAGCTAATTTTAACTATATACAAAGTATTTTATAAAGTAATAGTATATACTGGTAAACAAATATAGTGGCGTAAAACGTGCAGTAGTACTCTTTCCATTGTTGAAGAGTAGAAAGACAAAAGAGGCCAAGAGGAAATACTTCAGTACAATACTTCAGTACAATACTACTTACTCAATACTTGAGTAAAAGGTACTTCGCTATATTCCAGCACTGCCAGAAACAAGACGGCATCTAGGCCGATGAAAGCACCACACAGCCTCCGGGGCTCACTTTCACCAGAAGTATTTTAAAATAATATTTTACTCCAGGAGAAGTTGTATATTTTTATAGTGCACATACAGTACTGTTTGTTCATGAATAGTTTACCACAGCTTTTGTCTATTCTAGGGTTTCATAGTGAACACCACTCACTAAAATATGACCTAAAACTTACAGTACACATCTGCGGGAGTGGAAAAGCAGACCCAGGCAGTGTTATTGCATTCTGGGTGCTGCATCATATATTAAGATATGATGCCTGTTTGCAATTACTGTTTCTGAAAGTTGGGGAGGAAAAAATTATAACATGGAACAGCTGAAACTGGAGGTTGACTGCTTCTGGACCTCCACAGAGGTGTTTTAAAACCCTCTACCAAAGTCCTAGTGAACTGACAGAGCAAGTCTTTTTCCATTAATTCCCAAATGAACACAGTTAATCATAGCACATTAACTTTTTTTTTTTTGGAAAGAGTGAAACCAGTCTTCCGTGATCAATTTGCATGTGAATAGTTTCCTCCTACATTGATATATCCACCATTAAAGAAAGGCGAGTACCTGCTTTGACAAAATGATTGCCTGTATGAAAGCTGAAGATTGTATTTATTTAAACATTTAACAATGAACATCTCAGTCATTTCTCTTTTCCAGACTGTATACCCCATGAAGAGAAACCTTTCATTTCTACCAAAACATTGCAATCCAGCATTGCTTATTAGTATTTGAGATGGGGTCAGGGGGAGTTGGGGGGTATCTGGTAGCTGCTGTGCACTTAAACTTGCCAGACAGAGTAATAGATAAAATATTAAACTTGGCGGCAGGGCGAGAATGGTAATGATGATACTTTTGGCCGGCCATTTCGAGGCCTCTTTGTTTGATTTGAACGTGGCTCAGAAGCTTGTTCAAACACAGCTATCCAGAAGTGACAGGGCAGCAGGGCAAGAAATGCTCTTCAATGTTTAAGGAAAATATTTAAAATCAACTATTTTTCCACAAATTAGTTGACAACTTTTACTCTGAAATCACTAATTCTAGAATGAACAAAGAGACCTGAAGGTCATCTGTCAATAAGTGTAAAAGAGAGGATTAAAAAGCTAAAGGTAATAGTTATTATTTTGTTAAGCAGGAGGTTAAGTTACATTGTTGTAAAAACTGCAAATTATTTTTAGTTTGCGGAGTCTTTTAATCAGAGTAGGTGTTATGTTATTCATAGGGTTTCAGTTTAATATTGAAACAAAATTCCTCACACATTTGTATTTTAAACCAAATGAAAAATCCCTAGGCCCCTGAAATGATCACATACAATTGAGAAAAGTTAATATGTTGAAGAAATAATACCCTGGGAGGCTGAAAGTCGAGCAAAGACAGCCTGACTAAAATCTTTCTGGAGGCTTCTCCCTTTACCTGCCATGTGCGGTGTAATTAATTGCTGTTAATTGTGAATGGCCGCTGGGCAGAAATGTCCCGGCCCGTCATTTTCCAGCTGACACGGGTGGGGAGGGGGTTAGCGTTTGATTTGTTTTGCTGGTGGTAGCTTTCAGCTCGGGGGCAAGACGGGCCCTGCAGCGCTCTGTCAGGGGCCAGAAGCTCCAGTGGGCGACTCCTGCCACAACCAGTAAAGACCTCCCATACAGAGAGTCTGACACCCCTCACCACACACACACACACACACACACACACACACACACACACACACACACTCTACACATACAGCTCTCCCTGGTAAACACATACATATATTCATGAGAAGCCCAAAAAGGTGTTCAGAAGGCCACAGGCAAGAGGGAGAAGATGACATTTGATCTAAAAAAAAAAATGTGTGTACAATAGCTGTGAAAGAAGGGGGTTTAGGGTCATGTGCTTTGTTATTGCAATCTTTTCATACCATTACACAGTTGCTTGCAGCAACATGTGAATTCAGGATATCGAGTGGAAACCAAATGTGGACAAAAAAATGTGAGGGAAACTGAAAAGTTGACTCAAACTGTAATTTCTTTTCTGTCTTTTTTGGGGAGTTTACTTTTCTGCGGTTGCTCAGTGTCTTTCCTGTTTGTTGATATATGTTTGCCAACCAATGGAACGGTGTGTACAGTTTGAAGTTTGCTGCGAGGGTGGTAACAGTAAAGAAGTCTGTTTGTGCATCTGTCAGTGTGTGTGTGTGTGTGTGTGTGTGTGTGTCTGTGACTGTTGGCAATGTTTCAAAGTTGAGGGAAAGCAGTGAAACAAGGTGAAACAGCAGACGGGTACATATCAGAGTGAAATAAACAGTGTTGTGACATGTCTATCACCCCTATCCTGACACTAGGAGATCAGTTGTATTATCTATAGCTGATAACAAAAGAAAAGTAGTTAAACCTTGGTGTCTCTGCACGACACAGGAAAAGGGAATTTTGTAGCGCTGTAGAGGCATATCATATTCTCCCTGTCTGTGCCTCTGCCACCGACCCTGTGGGTAACAGTCAAGCTATGTTCTCCAAAATAAAACTCCCTCCCTTTCCTGTCATCTCATCAACTGTGATCCTGAAGAGCAGGCAGGTGTTTGGAGAAACTCCACAAATCTAATCTTACCATGTTAATATGATTATGAGTGTATCTTACAACCTTAAGAAAACTGAAACCACATGTCATCAGCTGCTAATATTTGTCCATCTAATTTTACAATTCATATTATTTATCATAAAATTATAACATGGAAAATATATCTATAAAATGCATTATTAGTATCCTACCTTTTGTCCATTAAATCTTATTTAATTTGTTGATTTATCTTTTACTGTTAGGGGCAGGTGGTTCATTGAGTCTCACATAATGAAAGAAAAACAAGACCCACCCACACACACACACACACACACACACACACACACACACACACACACACACTGTCACATACACACACAGTGATGATAGAGCATGGCGGCCACACACTCATTTAACCAAACAAGCAGAGCACAGGCTTCCATGCTGTAAAAAAGAAAGCCTTGCTTCTTGGTATGCACTGCAGCATCTCAGCTAGTGTTGACTCATTGAGGAAAAAGCAAAAACAAAAGCCACATCCCATCAAGGTTTGACCCATTAGCATGTCATTCTCTAAAGCTGATGTACCATGCCGTATCTGAACGGCTCCCACTGGTATGATTTTCTTTTTATGCTCACTAGAAGTTGCCTCGCATCATATGCTTCACTGAACTGCTTAATATTTCCTTCACCGGTGTATCGTCTTAAAGACTGAGTGTGATACTGGCAGTTGGAATAAACTGTTTCCACTGTGTGCTATTTAAGGCGGCAGAAGTTAGTTAAGATGTTATTGAGAATGTCCTTTGACAGCATTTGAACAAACACAAGGAACAACATGAAACTTTTGTCCTCCACTGATAAAAGGCTGATTGTTTTACTGACTGGTTCCTGCACAGTTTTCAGATACTGAATACCAGATGATAATTTCTTGTGTTTAATCTCATCTTGTCTGGAAGATGACCAGCCAGCGCTGTCTTGTTTAAAACCAGATGTGACATTTAAGGTGGCCTTTGTTGGAAAGTAATCTACCTCTCATTTTTCTTTTCATCAACTTTTACTGGACTGTTCGCTTGCATGTACATTACTGAACAGACTCACACAGGCTTTCTTATGGATCACTTTTTCCAGTGATCTTGATTTTTAACCTCTTTTTTTGCATGTAGTTGATCCATCATGAAATCTGAATTTATTCATTACTCCAAATGCAAAACCACTACAGGGCCATGCGACTGAAATTAGCGCCACCAGAGTTTTTATATTCCTCTCTGCCTCTCTATCCCTCTCCCTCCACTTTTTCTTTCCTCCCTGTCTCTAGCTTTCCCACTCTGATTTGTCTTCCATCAGCCTCACAGTACCTGTGGTGGAAGCCGGGGAGCTGTCCCATTACTTATGCATAGGTATCATAGGTATTCATGTGTGTGCATGGGATAGGGCGCATCCGGAGCAGGGGCCGGGGCCCCGACATGACAAACAGGGTGTCAGCAAGGCTCCACAGGACCCATTAATATGCCGGCGGCCGACAGGGATCTTCACCTACGCGCGCTTAATATTCCTGTATATTAAACAACCATAAATCAGAGGATATAAGCGCTGAGGGCTGTGTGTGTGTGTGATGTGTGATGTGTTTAAGTGTGTTAGGAGCTACGTATAGGTGTGTGCAGAGACATTGTGTCTGTAAAGGATTCGCTGTATGTGTGTATGTGTGTGCATGTTTGCTTTGGGACATGTTTGAGACAGTGTGTGCAATACTTTTGGGTTAAGAGAAACAGGGTTTTGGTTGGGGCAGTTTGTGAATTTATGGATGTGTGTGTGCTCAAATGTGTGTGTGGACGTGCTCTCAGACAGTAAGTCAGGGGAATTCAGAGTGGAAGACAGCATCAGCTTTTAGCCTTTCAGCCTGGCTTTAGCCCCAAAGCCTCACTGCTGAACCACAGCATCCCCTCACTCAGATCCTTTTCACACTAACAGAATGAAGTTCTCTCCTATCTATTCAAACAGGAAAAAGGAAGAGTTTTACTTGCTTGTGATATTTTTATTCATATACTAATTTTCTTCTCATGGCCTCCTTATTTCTTTCAATTTACATTTTTCATTTTTCTTTTTGGCCTCTACTTTTGCGCTAAACCAAGTGCTCATTGCAGCATTTTCCAGACAGCTCCTGTCAATCAAGCTGTGTATGCTGCACTGTAGTCCCTTTTTCTCTTGATGAAGGTCTTTCTTGTTTGCCTGTTCAGCAGGGCTGGCTGTCACCATCATGCTAACTATTCAGTTTGTCTTGTTTATGCCACACACATACCACAAACATCAAACAATTCACTTCCTTGGCACCACGGAGAAGGACGACCAGGGACTTTAAGTGTTTAGCCAACACTCCACAAGCTTTTAAGAAAGGGAAATTCAATTAGTTCTGTTACATATAAAACATTTTCTGCATGAAAACATTCACAAAATGACACTTTAAAGCAGTAATCTCAGCTAAACTGTTTGTGTTTCTTTTGTTCAAACTCTGATTCTCTTTTGACAGATTGTTTAACCCTTTAAAGTTGCAGGGTCATATGATCACTGTCACCATAAGCCCATTCCCTGCAGCATCTGACCCATTAACATCTCTCCACCTCACTCAAACACACACATTCATCTTCTTCCCCGACACACATGCATACACTGTCCTCTTCCCCTCCCCCTTCCATATTAATCTGTGTTACATGCATGCAAATCACCTTGTTTAATTACAGACAAAGAATCTGCGTGTGTGTGTGTGTGTCTGTATGTATGTGTGTGTGTGGTGGTGGTGGTGGGGAGACCTACACCCCCCAATCTTGATATTCATGATGTGATGTGGGTCCCTGGGTCCGAGGCAGGCAAGAAGGCAGTCAGGGCCTAATTTTGTTTTCCCAGTAGGGCCAACTATTAGTTTCTCAGCTCATTAATTACGCTGTTGTGCAGAAATCATTAATAGTTAAAGTCGCCCTACAATAATGTATAATGGATACATTTGACGGGGCTCCTGATTTCTTCTTTTTTTTCTTTGATATGTGATCAATTTTTTAACGGTCATGATAATCCCTGAGCCCGGGATAGCAGGCACTGGAGTTGACCTCAAGCACGCTGGGAAATGGCAGTGTGTGTGTGTGTGTGTGTGTGTGTAAAATCACAGTGTATAAATTACATACCATTTGAGCGGTCGGGGGCTCTCCAAGGTGGTGGAGTGTCTGGCCTGCTCCCTTCTCTCTCTGTGACGAGGACCAGTGTGTGATGCTTTCCATGTCAGCCGGTGTGTTTGTTGTGTGTGTGTGCTTTCTGTAAGAATGTATGAGAGAGAGAGAGTCAGCATGTGGGTGTGTGTGTCTGTGTGTGTGTATGTGTGTGTGTGTGTGTGTGTGTGTGTGTGTTTGTATATGTGTGTCTCCCCCCTCGGCTCCTCTCGCTCAGATCAGTGACAGACACTTTTGTGACGGAGGTCATTAAAATCACTCCCAAGGCAGCTCAGAGTGTGTGTGTGTGTGTGTGTGTGTGTGTGTGTGTAAGAGTGTGTGTGTGTGTGTGTGTGTGTGTATTTTTGTGTGGGTGTCCCCCCCCCCCTTCTCACTCCCCTTAACACTGACCCCCCACCCTGCATTCTCCACACCCCCTTTTCAATTTTCTTCCTCTGTTCTTTCATTCATCCATCAAGACACCACGAGTGCTGGAGTGGACCCAGGCCGACTCGCCATGTTTTCCGACTACTCACTGTGTATGAACAGGGCAAATCTATGTGCATGTATTTGCATATACTGTTAAATATGTGGGTTTCTTCCTAAAGACGGAGGCAATAGCTTACTGAATACAATAAAAATAAGTCTATAATATTCTGCAGTATTGGTATTAGTGAGTGTTTTTCTATTGCATAGTCTCCCAGACGTCCGTTAGCTTGTGGCACGCTGCGCTCGGCGAGCCTCGTCAGTGTAAGAGGTAATTAAGTATGAATAATTAACACCAGCGCCCCCCGACTGGGAGACGGCAGAGCAGCTTCCCCATGGCAGCAGTCGGCCAGATCACACATGGCCCTCGTAGCAGTCCACTGAGTGCCCGGCTTGTTCATTAGAAAAACCCACGGCACAGACTCGTTGTGATCCTCACCACAGGATCCTGCACCGAGGAGGGAGGCAGGGGGCATCATGGGCATGTTTGGTTTATCAGGAAAAAAAAAAAAGAACCCCAATTTGCTTATTGTCAGCCTTTTCAGCCTTTGGGGTTTAAAAAAAAAGTTCCTGCTAATGGACAGTGACATTTGAAGCTTTTAGGTATTGCATAATCAGACAGCATAATAAAAACGTGTATTTTGGAAAGAGAACTTGAATTGTCTTTGAGTCTATACCAATATCTCGCTTCTGAGGTACGTATTCCCTGAGTGGTAGATAGAGATAGCCAGCTGTACAGTGATCATTTAGCAGAGCAGTTCATAGAGGTTTGCGTCTCTGGTCAATGAGTAACAGCACTATCTTTTAGACCTGTGGGGTTTAAGAGTCAACATGAAAATGTCAAGTGTAATCACCACAGGAACACATTTGCCCTACATACAAGTTACGAATGAGGAGTTCACCTTCATAAAGCCACGCAAATATGCATATGAATACATGGACATATCTTATAATTCACTAGATTATAGAGGATTTAGTCTGTAAAGATGATTTGGTTGAAGACAGATTATCTGAAACACCTCAGATAATTGTTGTATTGCTTCATATAAGTGTGTTAAAGGTGTCAAAGTATTGTACTCAATGACTTCATCTTGCATGAACATAAGTAACATGCAAGAAAAAGATGTACGTACTGTACTATAGTGCTAATTCTGTTCTTTCTTGTCCCCTTTTTCACCTCTCTTCCTGTCTGCCTGTCAGCTGTGCGGGCGGACCGTATGCGCGGTGGTCGCAACAAGTTCGGCCCAATGTACAAACGTGACCGGGCCCTGAAGCAGCAAAAGAAGGCACTGATCCGAGCCAACGGCCTGAAGATTGAGGCCATGAGTCAGGTGATGCAGGCCGTGCCCACTGACCTCACCATCTCCTCAGCCATCCAGAACATCCACTCAGCAGCCTCCAAGGGCCTTCCACTGAGCCACCACGCCGGCCACCACACTGGCCACCACCACCACCATCATCATCACGCCACTGCCCTGCCCCCCACAGACTACGACCGCAGCCCATTTGTCACTTCGCCGGTCAGCATGGCAATGCCGCCGCACGCCGGCAGCCTACAGGGCTACCAGGCAGCCTACGGACACTTCCAGGGCACGCGCACCATCAAGTCAGAGTACCCAGACCCGTACACCAGCTCGCCAGAGTCCATCATGGGCTACGCCTATGTAGATGCCTACCAGTCAGGCTCGCCGCCCAGCTTCCCCCACCTGATCGTAGAGCTGTTAAAGTGTGAGCCGGACGAGCCACAGGTTCAGGCAAAGATCCTGGCCTACCTGCAGCAGGAGCAGGCCAGCCGAGGCAAGCACGAGAAGCTCAACACCTTCGGTCTAATGTGCAAGATGGCCGACCAGACACTCTTCTCCATCGTGGAGTGGGCACGCAGCAGCATCTTCTTCCGTGAACTCAAGGTAGGGTGATCATGGTCCATGCATGAGAGTGCTTTTGTTTGAATGTGAGGAAAGCTTGGGTATATTCTATTTTTTACAGCCATGTTTTCATGATTTGGCCATCATTCCTATTGGTTATGAGAGAATAGTACTATTTAATATTATAACATTATATAATATTTAATCTTTAATTCTATTTGCAGTAACTCTGCAGGCCATTAATAAAATATCCTGCACTTTGTCTCAATGGTAAATCTTTCACCAAGCTGTCATCTATAATTGACAGTACTTTACACAGTTCAGGAACATCATCTGTTCAATCCTTTATCTTCAACAGACCTTTAATCATCCTTTTTATGCACTGTCAACACAAATGCAGAGTGCACAGAGCTGTGGGGGATAAGAGGGGGTCTGCTTGTAGCCTCCACCGGTGTCTGTCCCACTGCCTGATCAGAATTCAGCAACCAACCATATTTATTTGTGTGGCACATTTTGGTTATGGGTTGTGAAAACTTTGACTATGAGCTTCAGGCGCTTTTCATACTAACAGGGTCCTAGTCCGAGGGTTTTATGTGAACTGAATACTGCCCATCTAATGTTGAAATATTTCACAGAGCTAACTGGGCACACACTGTGATGATATGAGAAATTGCCCACTAGCATACCAGTCAAATAAAATCCAGAGAGCTTACCATTTCACAATAACAATAAATCGCCTGTATTTAATTTCAATTTAATTAAGATCCTTTTTAACATTTAGTTAGATGTTCTTTTAAAGCATCTTCACTAGATATGTAATCCGCCAAATCTCTTAAAACAACAACATTTGAGCCTGGTAAACACTGTGTCACTGTTTATCACAGTCAATCCCAACTGGCCAATAGTAACCGTCCACCAATGCCTCAGTGTAAAAATATGATAATTCCCACTTATTCATCGCAGAGCCCAAGGGAGAGTTTCTGGTGTGTGTTTGTGCACTTGCAGCTTTATTTGCTCTAAATGAAGGTTAATATTCGGAATGACATGAAAGGTGTGTGATTAGCCTATGCTTTACCTGTTTTTCTTTCCGTTGTCTGACTCCTTTGTCTGTTTGTTTCACACCGCATCGCCAAAGGCTCAGCTGCATATTCATGGTCCCAAGCCTGTTGCAAAATTCCCTCCAAATATTTAATATTATTTTGTTCTCAAAGGGGGGAAAATAACAAATGAAATAAATGTAATATTAAAAACTGTGCCAATTACAACGTAGACAAGAGTCCTTGAAAAACACATGTTGACATTTAGCACGCGCCGTGTCCCCACTATTGACATTTTCGAGATCTGAATTTGCATTCAGCTGGGGTGAGCACTACACCCTCATACACACACACACGGGCTCATCATAGGGTGTGGCCACAGCTCATAATGGTGTGTGGTTTGCCCATTAACTTTGAATGATCATTTTTGCTGCACTGTGAAGCCTCTCTATTTCTCACACCCTCGTCCTAATTCAATTATCTCACACCCTTGTGTTTGTCACTGCCTGATTTTCTGCTGAATGAACTGCCATTATGTTTGGCTAATGACTACCCATATTAGCGCAGCTTAATAGTAATTGAGCCGGGTGCCTGTTACAAAGGTAGAGAATGACCTGGGCTTAGTGCAGGAGAAACCTCTTCCTGCACACCCCACACACTCCACCCCCCACCCTCACCCCTCTAAATAAAACCTCTCCTGCTCCTGTTGCACAGCCCCGTTGCTTTAGGTGAGGTGGGGGCATATTTCACTTAAGTGAGGGAGATAATTGAACTGAACCCCACCCCCACCCCCCCTTGCTTGCCCTGTTTAAAGAGCCATCTTTAGCGCAAGGGGGACTGAAAAAAATAATGTGCTAGCTGTGGCTGTGACAGTTTTTCCCACACAATCCACAGTTTTCTCTTCCTAGCATGTTTCTCATTAGCAATGACCAGGAGGACTGCTGAGCAAAGCTTAGTGTTAGTAATAGTGACAATAAGCAAACCATGAGCTAGCCAAACTGATCAGCCCTCTCCATCATCTGATGCTTTAGAGGCTGATTTTTGTTTGTGTGGGCGCTGTGTAGTGTGTGTGTGTGTGTGTGTGTGTAAATGTTGTGTGTGTAAAACCCACTCATGACCTCTGCCCCCTCCACTTTATCTACCTGCGAATGTCCTCTTTTGTCTATGCAGGTGTGTGTGTGTGTGTGTGTGTGTGTGTTTGTGTGTGTGTGTGTGTGTGTTTACATGTGTATCTGTTCATACATCCTAACAGGCTTAGTGCTGCTCAAGCATAACAAACATTGCTAATGTTTAGGGATTAATATCCACAGATGAAAAAATGTGTACCCTTCTCATATTAAGGGGTAGTAAGGGGTTTCACATAAAATACCAACTACAAACAGTGTAAGTGTGTGTGTGTCCCACTGTTTTAACTAACGATTGCTAGTTTGATTAAAGATATCATGTTCAAAATCAATCTGACCTCTGACCTCTCCTGTTAATATAGATCTGACTGTTAGATTTCGAGGTCCAGCCTGGGACCAGAAAGACAGGAAGCAGAGTAGAATTAAAAGTTTGTCACAGGAGTAGGAAGCTATAAATACGCTTACATCTCTCACATACACACACATGTACCCCACATTAAGACACAGACACCGCTCACACATAACGCACAGTCCCTCTCACTATTATTAGCTCTGTAAGAACAAAAGAATTTCTCTGGTAATAGAGCCAAGCTGGGAGTGTGTGTGTGTGTGTGTGTGTGTGTGTGTGTGTGTGTGTGTGTGTGTGTGTGTGTGTGTGTGTGTGTGTGTGTGTGCTAGGCGTCTGCCAAAAAAAGTGTTTAAAGATTTAGTTTCCATAAGTTGGCTTCGGTCACGAGACTCATAAATATTTAGCCATTAGAAGGACCTTCTAAAGAGCACACTCCCCATTCTTCTCCAATGCGGCACGCTGGCTCTCTCTTTCTGGGAATGAGGCATGACGTGAGGGACGTTTATTTCTAACACCTTGGATCCGAGAAGCTGGGACGGGGCTCTTCCCGCCAGCGCACTTCAGTTTTGATTGGTTTAACACATCGACAATTAGAGAGAGGCAGATCTGGTGCACTGGTTTTGAAATCAATGAAAATGTGGCGTGATGAGGGAAGGTTTTGGCAGGGTTTGAGGGGCATGATCGCTTGTGGTTGTTTTATAAAATTTGAAGTGAGTTGAAGACAGGTGCATGTGTGTGTGTGTTCATGTATAGGTTTATGTCTGTTAGAAATGGTTGCACCTAAGCATTTATTTAGTTTTTTTTTTTTAAATCCGTGTGTGATCAGTCTGTTCTGCTTTTAAAATGAGTTTCTATACCAGACTGTGAGCGTGTGTTTTCCAGTATATACATGCTGTTTAAGATTTCAGTCAGTTTCCAAATGTATGTTTTGATACTTTATTCAGTTGAAAGATTAGATTGTTGTTCTTGTGTAGAGTAAGTTTAATGAACCTTTGCTGTACTTTACTGTAACTATTTTTCGTATAAATTTTGTTAAAAGGTTTTTGTTAAATTTATTTAAGAAATATACTTTTGTCATTGGGGAAATGGCAACTCTATAAATCACTGCTGAAACCCGTTTCCTTGCAGGTAGCTGTTGCAGGAAATGTTGCACACTGTGTATTTTAAAGTTACATTGTGCAGATGCATATATTTCAGCATGTGTACAAGGTCTGTTTTTGAAAATATGCTGCCATAGCTATTTCTTTGTTTTAGAGTTTGTATAATATGTACAAATGTATTTTAGAGCTTATTCTACTTGTGTGTTCATGGGCAATTCATAAGCATATGCCAGTGTTGTATTGTGTGGTGTATGGAAAGGGAAGGGAAACACATGTGTTTGTCTCTCACTGACATTTGCTAGCGCAGGGCTGGTACGTCGCCACTCCTCCCCTCCCTTGTCCTCTCCTGTCCTGCCATGAACCCCTCCACCCGTCCTGGTGCCAGCCACCAACCAGACAGCTTTGCAAGTGTTAAAGGACAAATCCACTAAAAATGCTTTAACATTCTTGAAAGACAGCTATAGGGGATATTGAGACTTGAATTCAGATAATGGTTTCTCTATTGACAATACGCTCAGCAAACCAGAATTCAATGCTGCAGCCCCATGGATGCAGTGTTTTCAGTTATTGTTAGGCAACCTTGTGTGTGAAATGTTGGAATTATATTACTGACGCAGCAATTGATTTTGCATCGTAGTTTGGTTTTGTTTGTACCTGACTGACTAGGTTATGTGACAAGACAGAATTGTAACTAAGGACACACCATGGCTTCAAATACAAAATATTGTGAATACATTTTGTGCAGTCAATATGTAAACAAAGATTAGAGGGGAAAAAATATTTAAACATAGACATGTTTTAAAAAAAACATGACCGAATAAAAAAGTAAACAAAAAATGTGAAACAAGAAAAAAATTATAAAAATACATTAAACTGCCCATGTAGTAAATAAAATCACAAGAGAAGCGAGAGTTTATGAAGGTTTGGATTGCACAAAAATAACCTTAACTATGAAGATTATAAAACATATTAATTAATTAATTAATTATGTCATGCTTTCTTTGTGAAAACTGTAAACACAGGCCTCTTGAAAACACTTCTTCTAAAGTTCCTGTTTGTGTTGCTGAACATGAGGGTGGACATTGCTTGACTATGAGTTTGTGTGCATGTGTGTGTGTGTGAGAGTGTGACTCATACTGTAGCTGGTCCAGTGCTACCCTCTCCTCCATTGTTTCAGTGTTGGGATGGCTGGCCTGACTCCCACCACAAACACAATGGGGAAGGAGAATTTAGCAGGGCGATCGGGACTATTGATGATTCATATGTTTATATCTCACCTTCCCAACTCTACTCCCTTTTCACCACAGCCAACCCACCCCTACCCCTCTTCCTCTCCATACCCTTTAATAAAAAAGGATGTGTGTCTGGTGTTGGGACAGCGAGCACCTTTGTGTGCCTTGTCAACACACAACAGACAGTGGCCAATAAAGAA